GTCAAGTATTAATCCAAGATATTTCACTTGGTTTGACCAGGAAATTGGAACTCCGTTCATAGTGACTATGTGACTACTACTAGGTTTCAAAAACGAAGCTCTAGGCTTATGTGGAAATATTATAAGTTGAGTTTTGGAAGCGTTGGGAGAAATCTTCCATTTTTGTAAATAAGAAGAGAAAATATCTAAACTTTTCTGCAGTCTGCTGCAAATAACACGAAGACTTCTTCCTTTAGCGGAAATGCCTGTGTCATCAGCGAACAAAGATTTGTGGCAACCCTGAGGCAAATCAGGGAGGTCCGAAGTGAAAATGTTATACAATATAGGCCCAAGAATGCTACCCTGAGGAACTCCTGCTCTAACAGGTAGTCGATTAGATTTGGAATTTTGATAATTTACCTGCAGAGTTCTGTCAGTTAAATAATTTTGAACTAATTTCATAATATAAAGTGGAAAATTAAACTTTTTCAATTTAGCAATCAAACCTTCATGCCAAACACTGTCGAATGCTTTTTCTATGTCTAGAAGAGCAACTCCAGTTGAGTGGCCTTCAGATTTGTTTGAACGAATTAAATTGTTAACTCTTAAGAGTTGATGAGTAGTTGAATGCCCATGGCGAAATCCAAACTGCTCATCTGCAAAAATTGAGTTCGTATTGATGTGAAGCATCATTCTATTTAAAATTATCTTTTCAAAAAGTTTACTTATTGAAGAAAGCAAACTTATTGGACGGTAGCTAGAAGCTTCAGCTGGATTTTTATCCGGCTTCAAAATTGGAACAACTTTTGCATTTTTCCATTTATCAGGAAAGTATGCCAAATGGAAACATCTGTTAAATAATTTTACCAAGAAAGACAAGGTACTCTCTGGGAGTTTTTTGATGAGGATATAGAAAATTCCATCATCACTTGGAGCTTTCATATTTTGAAAATTTTTAGTTATAGACCTTACTTCGTCCAAATCAGTCCCCCAGGAATCATCAAAAATATTTTCCCGAGAGAAAATATTCAGAAAATCCCGAGCAACCTGATTCTCAATAGGACTAGTAAGACCCAAACTGAAATTATGGGAACTCTCGAATTGCTTAGCAAGTTTCTGAGCTTTTTCCAAATTTGTGATCAAAATTTTACCACCTTCTTTAAGCGCTGGAATAGGCTTTTGAGGTTTCTTCAAAATTTTTGTGAGTTTCCAAAAGGGTTTGGAACTCGGGTCTAATTTAGAAATATTATTTTCAAAAGTTTTGTTCCTCAGGGCAGAGAATCGCTTTTTAATTTGTTTTTGCAAATCCCGCCAGATAACTTTCATGGCAGGATCGCGTGTTCTTTGATATTGTCTCCTACGGACATTTTTAAGACAGATCAAGAGCTGAAGATCATCGTCTATTATAATTGAATCGAATTTAACCTCGCATTTTGGTACTGAGGCAGCTCTTGCTTCAACTATAGAAGTAGTCAGAGATTCAAGAGCAGAATTAATTTCATCTTTGGTTTGCAAAGGAATGTTTGGATCGAAGTTATATTCCATAAATGTTCGATACTGCTCCCAATCAGCTCTATGGTAATTGAAAGTAGAGCTGTTGGGATTACAAATTATTTCTTGGGATATTTCAAAAGTTACTGGAAGGTGATCAGAACCGAAGTCAGCATGGGTAACCAATTGGCTACAAAGTTGACATGAATCAGTTAAGACCAAATCAATAGTGGAGGGATTTCTTGCAGAAGAAAAGCATGTTGGGCTGTTTGGATATTGAATAGTGTAATAACCTGCAGAACAATCATCAAACAGAATATTACCATTGGAATTGCTTTGAGCATTATTCCATGAGCGGTGTTTTGCATTAAAATCACCAATAATGAAGAATTTAGACCTATGACGGGTAAGTTTCTGGAGGTCACCCTTGAGAAAATTCTTTTGCTGGCCTACGCATTGGAATGGCAAATAGGCAGCTATAAACGTAAGTTGTCCAAATTTTGTTTCAACAGAAACCCCCAAAGTTTCAAAAACTTTGGTTTCAAATGAAGAAAGAATTTTATGTTTGATTCGTCTATGAATAATGATGGCAACGCCACCACAGTGTCCATCAAGACGATCATTTCTATAAATCAAGTAATTTGCGTCCTTCTTAACCTTATGGGCAGGTTTAAGGAACGTTTCAGTTATAACGGCAATATGCACGTTATGAACTCTTAAAAAGTTAAATAGCTCGTCTTCATTATCTTTAAGAGATCGAGCATTCCAATTTACAATATTTAATGCTTTAAAATCCATTACTGAATTTTAAAGTCATGACAATATTATTTGCAAATTTTACTCCAGTTTGAATAGCATCAAACATGGAGTTAGATTTAAGCATATCAGAAATCATGTCAATTAATGAATTCTGTAAAAATTCCATTTTGGGGGCAGTAATGCTTCCTAAGTCAAAATTGTCAAAATTTCCATTAGAACGTTGGTTAGTATTTTGATTTCTACCCGCTGCAATAGCAGCATAGGTAGCTCCATTAACTCGCTGAACATTGTTAGCAGCGAGGGGAGTAGGTACAGATGAAACATTTGAAGCAGGGGAGATATTTGTACCTACGGGTACGAATGTAGAATTTGTTCCTCGCTGACCGTTGTTAACAGCAGAGGAATTTGTACCTGGTCGGAAACGTGGAGCGTTTCCTACCTGACGGTTAGAACGAGATTGTAGGATCGCTTTGCGAGTCTTACATTCCCAAAAATTGGATTTGTGGTTTTCACCACAATTTGAACATTTAAATTTCTTAGGATCTTCCTTAACAGGACAGTCGTCCTTTGCGTGAGAGGAATCACCACAATTCATGCATTTAGCTGGCATGTAGCAATTTTTAGTTCCGTGACCCCATCCCTGGCACTTACGGCACTGGGTGAGGTTTTGGAAATTTCCTCCAGTCTTCCTGAAGTGTTCCCACTTCACTCGGACATGGAGCATAAGGCTAGCTTTTTCTAAGGCCTTAAGCTTGTTTAGTTCACTAGACTTGAAGTGAACTAAATAAAAATCATTAGAAATCCCGTTGCGCGAATCGCCAGGACGGGATTTCATTTTCATTTTGATTACTTGGAGTGGCACAACTCCAAGTAATTTTGCCAGTTCATCTTTGATCTGATCCAGGGATTCACCACTGGGCAGTCCTTTCATGACAACCTTGAACACACGTTCAGTTTTGGTGTCGTAAGTAAAAAATTTGTGCTTCTTCTCAGTAAGATACTTGAGAAGACATTTAAATCCGTCCAAGGTTTCAGCCAATACACGGCATTCACCCCGACGTCCAATTTGTAGTGAAAACTTAACTTTCACGAAATTCAAAAGTTCCATGCGAAGAGCATGGAAATCGGTAGTGGTTATCACAATAGGGGGAATCTTTTCCTTCTTGGCATTAAGCCGGGAAAGTTTACTAGAATTTTTCTTGGATGATGGATCATTCTCATCATCCGTGAGCAAATCAAATTGATTACTCAAATTAATTTCTTCAGAAGGGGGGTCAAGAGTTTGCCCCTTTCTTTTGCGTTTAGGCGCCATGGCGGCAGTAAATTTTTTATCCAAATCTACTTCCAAGCAGATTACTATAAGAATCTGAAGGATCGAAGAGGAATTTTCCAAATCGATATCCAAGAAGGATTACCTCGGGTAGGGTCCAAACAAGGATCGAAGTTACGAGTAACGAGAGTTACCTCTATGGTAGTATCATAGAGGTAACTCTAAGACTAGTAGGTCCTGAAGAAACGTGCTCAACTTTTTGGCTAAGCTCTGGTACTATCTTCGGTCCCAAGCTAATCAATTCACCCCTCGAAACATAGAAAAATCCACTAACCCCTCATTTTATCTGTCAAACTTTCATAGCGAATCAAAACAAACATTGTGTATTACTAGAATTTATACTAGAATGGGATACGTTAATCGATTTGCTTGGGACCAATAGGCTAGTCAAGTAGTGAGCCAATTTCAAATCGATAGTTTCGTATTGATTGTTGGTAGTCTCGTTGGTAGTATTGTAAACCCCAGCATATTTGCCACAACGAGCCTTCATGTGACAATTTTTCATACCGTGCCCAAATGCCAGACAATAAGTGCACTGTGTCACGTCACGGTGCCGAGGGCGATACTGCTCCCACTGAATCACGATGTTGAACAGCACGCGAATCTGCCGCAGAGCAGCCACACTGGTGAAGTCCTTATCGAAGTGCAACAGGTACAGCTGGTCCCGGAATGCACGTCTCGCAATGGGAAAACTGTTGATTTGTTGCAGATGAAGTTGCTCCAATTCCGCTTTACTCTCCGCAACAGGGAGATTTGGAAGACCACGGATCACCATTTTCAGTGGTTTTCTTCCAGGGACGTCGTGAGTGTAGAACTCGAACCGGTTCAGCTGAAGAAAAGTTCTAGCAGCGTTGTAGCAACTGGTGGAAACTAACGATTTAAAATTGGCTCACTACTTGACTAGCCTATTGGTCCCAAGCAAATCGATTAACGTACCCCATTATAGTCGCAATTCTAGTACTACACTATGTTTGTTTTGATTCGCTATGAAAGTTTGACAGATAAAATAAGGGGCTCCTGGATTTTCCTATGTTACGAGGGGTGCATCGATTAGCTTGGGACCGATGAGGGTACCAGAGCTGAGCGAAAAAGTTGAGCACGTTTCTTCGAGACCTTCTGGTCTTAGAGTTACCTCTATGGTTGTAGTCTGCCAGCGTCGAGCACAAGATGATTTTGATCCCTGTGCTGCACAGCTTGAACAGCGGATGGCTTTGATTTTTTGCCAGCTCATTCCTGAGCAACGCGAGTTCCTTCGTCGTGGTGAACAGTGGGGGCAACTCCCCCCTCCCCCTAAACTCAGCAACACAAAGGCTTTCGGGGAAATGGCGTTCGGTGAAATGGCATTCGGCCAAATTTTCCAAAGAAACTTTTTTACTGCCCCTCCCTAGCTCGAAACCTGGTTACGCCCTTGGTTCTCACGATAGTGTTCTCCATCTTTCAGATACAACGAACCGCAGAGGCTGGAGATGAAAAATGCCACCAAAGAGCTGGCCGCCAACAAGGAGAACCGCATCGGGCAGCAGCTGATGAACTTCCTGGCCAGCATGAAGTCCGGAACGAAGGTGTTCCAGCACTTCCTATCGAACAGCAACTTGAGCCAGCTGTTGGATGACGCTTCGTACATGGTGTTGATCCCTTCGGACACGGCATTCCAACGGTGGCATCCGATCGATTGGGGATTCTATCCGTTCAGTGTGCAGGAGTTTACGGAAAGCGTGCTGCGAAACCATTTCATACGGGTGGGGCTTCCACTGCGGATGGCTGATCTAAGGGGAATGTCCGAGGATCAGAAATTCAAGACTCTCGGAGGAGAGTACGTTGTACTTAGAGGGAAACGTGAGTATTGATTGATAGAATTGGACTAAAATTTGGATGTTGAAATCCGATCCTTTTCCACAGCAACACCCACCGCAAATAATGTCTCTATCATCTACGACTACACGCTTTCCAACAGAATTGAAGTCTTCGTTACATCCGAGGTATTGTTCGTTTCCGAAGCCGTTGTGTCACGACTTCATCAGGTAAACTATTGCCTATATAGTTCGAATATCTTCTTTCACCAACTTGAAACTACTCTTTCAGATGCACAAAGACAAGGAAACGCCTCCACTGTTGGCCTTCCCGTGGTTCGGTGCCCAATTCCTATCGCACTCCTTCCTAGCGCTGGAACGGGACAATCGTTTTACGCAGATCACCCGCTTCCTGAACACGGCAGAAATCGCCCAGTTCATCTCCGGCTCGAACTATACCTTCTTCGTACCGACGGATGAAGCATTCGAACGGTACAGTTTCGATGTTCTCCCGGATAACGTCCTGGCCTCGGAGAAAGGAGTCAAGCTACTGTTGAATCACTTCATCAAAGGTCGCTTGTACGATCGGGACCTAAAGGACGGTGAGGTTCTGGAAACGATCGGTGGCACTCCGGTGAAAATCCATCGCACATTCGACAACAATGTAACGGTCAACAGTGCCAAGATAGTGGAATCGGAAGTGTTCGTCTACAACCTGGGAACCATGTTCTACGTGAACGATGTGCTCTACCCGGAATTGATCAAGGATGAAGTCACTGCACTGACCGAGATCAAAAACACCGACAAGAACGTTCCCGAGGAAACTGGAGATGTGTACACGACGGAGACCAATCAAGTGGAGCCATCCTCGTCGACAACCCATCGAACGTTATTCTACACGACGAGTGCCGACGTGGAGATTGTGCCGTTGGAGTTCACCGAGCAGAACGGCAGCGAGGACGATGTTCTTCTACAGGATGATGAAATAATTACGCCTAAGGCGTTACCAGTCAAGTATTACTATTCACCTAAGAAGTGAATGGTCCACGGTGCGGCTCAACGTTAGGGATGAAAATTTTGCTTTCGCAGAGGGCGAAAGCAATTCGGCACGGAACATTGTAAGCATTGTGCAGGCCTCATAACTATCGTTCTGTTATCTGCTCTAGCAAGGCATAGCACGAAACAGCTTAAGCTCAAAGAAGTTTTTTTTTATAGAAAATCAAACACCATCATCTCATTCCCAATCATTCGGGTAAATAAAAAGTCAAAAGAAGATATCATGTCCCATTTCGCTAAATGTATCACGAATCACCTCTTGTAGTCGTGATAGCATACTCAATATCTGAATGGTCTTCCTGGAATATACACAAAACCGACAGTCTTTTGATAAAATGTTTCGATTCAATGGGAAGTCACAAACAAAGAAAACTACTGCAAATGCTATTGAGTAGAAAACTCTAGAACAAATAGCTTTGCAACGGCATTAGGTGCAGATTGATAAAAAAAAACAACTACAAAAAATATACGCATTTCCTGTAGTTTGCTGTTAAATAGAAGAAAAAAAAAGATAACAATAACAAATACTAAACGAACACAACAGATCTACTGACTAGTTGTTAAGAAGTAAGTTGTGAGTAATCTCATTAGCTGTTAAGCTACAATTTTCCCATGAAATGAGTATTTATTGAAATAGTATTTTTTTTTTATTCTGTTATGTTAACAATAATTTCTCATCGGCACACGGCACACGGCACATATCACATCGGCACTGCAGATAATTGGGTGATAAAATATTCGAAATTGCACAGCTCAATTTGATTTGAGAATGGAAAAGCGGTTGTAAAACGACAGTGTTGTGATTGGCCAGTCACACATATCAACCTTTGATCTGAGTAAAACAAGTTGTCGACAATTATTCAATTGCTGAAATCTCCCATATTTGTACATTGTATGTTACTTTTGTAAAAAAAAATATGTTTAAATAAAATGTGGTAAAATGAGCGGTGTTTTGAGTTTCAGAAGGAAAGTACAACAGTTCTTGAGTAGTTCACAATTTTACGTAGCTGTTAGGTGAAAAGAGTGATGGGAAATGGCTTTGTATAATTTCCAAGTAAGGTAAATAGCTTCGGCAATACCTTTGCCAATTATCGTCAGGAGGGAGGCAAACAAACAGGTCTATTCTGCGAGTCGAGTCACTAGTGAGGTGACAAGTCACGTTTTCGTCGGGTGCAAATCAGATGTGACTTTTGTCATCTCAATAGTGCTTCTGGAGACGAACCAGCCCAGGGCTGAAAGTCTCCTTGCAGTATAGGCTTGAAAGTCTATCAGTCCAGAGCTCAATTTTTGTCAAACGATGCTCTGAACCATGACGATAATAGGCATTTTTGTATTAATTTAGCGAAACGTTAGCCTGTACTTGACACGTTTTGACAAACAATGATGGTAACGAACGATAGACAATTTTCTAAAGTCTACACAGGCAGCTGTGATATTGCGCAAATCAAAACAACCGTTTACCTAGTTGTACTCAGTCTCCCAATATAATAAACATACATGTACGAACAAAATAAAGACCCACCTTGCCATCTTCAACAACGCTTATAAATCGTATTATTTTCCTCATTGCTATCGGTTTCATCCTCACCGTCGTCCTCTTCAGAATCGCATTCCTCATTTTCCAGCATATAGTTCGAGTAGATGTTCATGATGTTATCGTTGGCCCGTTTCAGTTTGGCCATCTCTATCGAAACGGCATTCAGCTGTTTGTTCAAGTTGGTCATCTGTTCCTGGAAATTATCCCCACTGACCACCGTCGTATCTGCGTCTCCGCGTTTCCTGTTCTGGCCACTCGCCAGTTGTTCCTCCTTTCGTAGGATCGAGCTTGCCGAATAGATGGCATCGTTCAGAAGTTTGGCCTGTTTCTCCGTCAGCGGTGCCGTTTGGTTAACACTGGCTTTGTGGATACGGATCTTCGCCTGCTCGATCAAGGAGGCAAGGTTCATCCGGAGGGTGTCCAAGGAAATGGCGGCATCTCCGATTATGGTGGAGCTCTGAGATACTGCAAAAGAAGGTATATTTTTACAGTTGCGCTAGCAAATGCAAATCCTGTCTTACCATCGTATGCTGCTCGCATGCGTTGTGATAAATTTTGAGTTTCAGCGAGAACATCTGTTGGACAATTCCTGCTGGTCATTGTAACGCATTCGCAGTTTAAATTATTGCCAGACACAAAATTAATTGAATTTTGATTGCTGCTAATGCATTCCGTACCAAACTGTTTGTAGAAGGCGCGCCGTGTTTTTGAATTTGTTGTTTTGGTTTGAACTGGAAATGTCAAATTCGAAGCTTTCGTCAACAATCAGGGTTACATTCAGCGATGCCACATTGCCAGATTTTTGGGCACGAATTTTTTTTAACTAAAACTTATAATGGAAATTACAGACGGTATACACAGCAAAAAAAAATGTAATATCGATCAACGTAATTCAAGCTGATGTATGAAATAATGATGTAATAGCAAAAAGCAGATACAATATTACATTAATGGATGTAATTTTGTTCGCAAAATCGATGTACATCGTACAATGTGATATATTACACAACCGATGGATTGACCTGGTTGCAGCAGTTTCGATGTAATATTCAACAACTTTTTTTGCTGTGTAGTAAACACAGACCGGCGGATAGAAATTCCGTAAAAATGGCAGCACGGTTATTTTTACATTATTTTTCCTATTGTCTAGCAACGTTTGCAAATGCTTACACATAGAATGACTCGTATTCAGTGCAGCAAGCTGTTATGTAAAAAAGCTATAATTTTGGTTTGAAAATGAAGTGTTTATATTAGGGTTGTATGAATAATTCCCACTATGGCATAAAAATGTTGGGTTTTTCCGATTCCCCGCGAAGAATGGCATTCTGAACCAATGAAAACTGTTTTGCGGACTGCCGGAAGATTTTCGAATAGTCGGAAGTAACCGACTTTGTAGCGTAAGTAAACTTATTTTTCACAAGTGAAGACCTAACAACAAAGCTTTCGACGAAATTTTCCTACACCCGGATGAACATGACGGCGAAAATAGTGCCGATTTTGTTTATTATTCTCAATCCGTTAATGATACAAGTATGCAATCAAATCTTCCGGAGAATCTTGAATGTAACCAATTTGTCTAAAATAGAACCCAGAGTCAACAGTGTCAAAAATAAAGTTCTGTGAGATCAAATAGTGATTATTTTGTGTGTTAGATCAATGTGTATCTATTGCGTACTTCGCATGATCGCATTTTAACTTAATAAAAAGTGTGATAAAAGTGCTCGTTTACGTCTCATGTTATTGGTGTCTTCGGTGCGCTTATTTCTTGCATTATAAAGAATAAGTGCACCCAAGACACCAAGAAGATTAAAAGTTTTTTTTATCATTAAAAACATAATACAAACGGAAAACCATGTTCGGGATTACAATACTCTCCACACATTATTCGTTTGTCCGTTTGGCTCAACATTTTGACAGTTCGTTTGGCTCCGCTAGATTCGTATCCGCCGGTCTGTGTTTACTATACCGTCTGTAATGGAAATTCGATTGCGGTATGAATTTATATCAATAATATGTTGTTTCTCTTGTTATTTATTACACTTACATGCCCGCATAATCACGAACCATAACGTGATCTTACCGAAAATGATTAAAAAATAATATTATAATCCCTGCTAAACTTTAATTGAAATTTTTAAGGAACTTTACGTGAACGTTTTTGTGATAAAGTTTTAACCTTATATATTATGTTTTTTTGGAAGTGAACCTTACAAATAATGGGTTGTTAAGAACCATTACCATTCCAAATTTTTGTTTTCTCCATTCATTTTCGGAAAGAGAACTATATTAGAACCTGTTTTACTTATAGATACAATAGATTCCATAGATAAGCGAAGGGACAAAAAGTTGTTTTGGCAACCATGAAAAATAAATGATCTTACTGCCACTGAGGAATGGTTTGCTTTATCTTTCCTTCTTCCGTTGTCCACGAAATAAATCGGAATGTGGAGTGTGGAAAGCGTTATGTGCTCATAATATTACAATACTTCCCCCTCAAACAACACCATGATGACGTCATGCTTGTTTGGCTACACTAGCTGACAGTTCGTTTGGCTACATTATACTTCTAGATAGAGCTGGAATTAGGGCGTAACAGCCTTTGTAAACAATGACTTCTCTCGTTGATTTCTAGGAATTCAAGGCACGTCAACACAAACCAATACACGGATAGAAATCTCCTTATACCTTTTGGCAAATTGCTATTGCTGATTATTCATAAAATGTATAAGTCAACTAATAAGCAGACGCCTTGCAAAAAGTTAATGAAGATCATGTGTCAAATTAAATGTATAAGCGGTCACACATACCTTTTATGCATTCTAATAGGACCTATGTGGTTTGTCTTATGGAATGTATAAGGCTGATGTTTTGGCAAAAATGTATAAGTGAAACACATGAATCAAATAATTAATTTTCGTTTCGTGTATATCCATCGGGTAGGAGAAGTCTTCCTCTACTCGATGGTGATGTAGATTTGCCAGGGAGAGGCATGACTTTAGAGAAATCATCGAGAGAAGTCATTGTTTACAAAAGCTGTTACGCCCTAATTCCAGCTCTATCTAGACTTTTCCTCCGCTTATCTATGGAATCTATAGTATCTAAATACACGGTAAGAAACAAGTACCCAAAATTGAGTTCCTTTCACTCATCATGTGGCTTCCGTGGGGCTAGGTAAAATTAAGTTAAAGAAGAAAACTCAAGTTGACAAAAAAATAATAAAACGGAGCAGATTGAACCCGAACTATGGACGTTGAGATTACGGGGCCCTTGTGTTGACCACTCGTCTATCAACGCTTGTGAAAATGAAATGGTTAAAGGCGCATAAGAGCAACCTCAATGAAAATAAACTTATATTTGAGTTCATTTATTATTACTCAATAGTTGAGTAAAATTTAACCAACGCCGCTTTTCTGATTCACTCAACGGCGGACCTCAAATAATAGAACCCAACGTTGAGTTTTTTTTTAACTTAATTTTGAGTATTTTTTTCTTACCGTGTATAGTTTTACTTACACGCTAACACAAAAGCTTCCGTTAAATGAGTTTTTTTACTCATTCTTTAAATTTATTCTAAGTTGTCAAAAAATGGGTATTTTCAAAATAATAAAAACGGGTACTTTTTATTCATTTGGAAAAATATATTCTAGCCCTAAAAATGTGTTAAAAATATTCATTATGGTTTTAATTATAAAAGTGACGCCATCTTCGCGTATCAAGTGGAAATTTTACGTGTCCGGGATTTGCGCGACTTCTGCAGCTATGGAAAGAATGGCATTGTCTTCCTGGGTACAAACTGGAGTGGATTGTTTGGAGGTAAGGAATATAAGTGGAATTATCAAGCAAATTAAGATATTCTAAAAAAAAATGTGTCCTATTTCAGGATAGTGGGGATCTAAGAAGAAGAAACTGAAATTAACAAGCGAATGGTTCCGGATCCTCAGTCGATGGACGGCATCCAAACAACGAACTTATACGAAAGACTCATACGGAAGAACCACTGTGACTCGATAGGTGAACACTATTATCAACCAGATAACTTGTTTCCCCTGAATATTGCAACACGTCGGCTGATACTGAAGATGATGCCCGGTTTTGAGATTTCGGCAGTGTTTCATGCAGAATTCGATCACCTGATTCCGAGCCAATAAACAATATAAAGCGTTTTAATGATTAATATTTATTCATTTTTTCAAAAGGTACTACTTGGTTTTATATTTGATGGCAGTATGCACCTAACGTAAAAATTTCAATAAAATGAGTACTTTTTACTCATGAACAAAAAAAGCATCAAGAATAAAAAAGACCCATTTTCTGAAGTTTTCGTCGAATATTCCTTAATGAGTAAAGTCGGTTATACTAATTTCATGAGTTAAGCCACTTTTCTCTAAAATGGGTAAAATTTTACTCATTAATGGGTACTTTCAAGTTAGCGTGTATTGTATGAGAACTTTGATGGTAATGGTTGTGGTAGTCAGAAACCATGGATGGTTTTGTATTATCGATCAACTTTACGTGGAGTATATCTCGAATTATAAAATCATAAATAAAAAGGTTCTAATATAATTCCATTAGTGAGGTCAACTAATGGTTCGCATTTATATGGGTGGCGTTTTACAATATGAATAAAACATGATGGTAACTATTATTTATTCTCTGTACTTGAAGATGCTTTTTAGGTTGTGTTCTATGTGATGAATTTTCACTTAAATTTGACAGATTATACATTTTTCAAATAACCCTCACACCAAGCCTCACACTATTTCACAGCTTTCCAAATTTGGGTAGAATCCACTTCGGAATCCACCAAGATCGGGCAAAACTGAACATACTCAAAAATATGTAAACTGTGTTTGGAGTGACAAGCTGACAAATGAACAACGTCGATCGGATTAATGTCAATGTTGTTCATTTGTCAACTTGTCACTCCCAACACAGTTTACCCATTTTTGGGTAGGTTCAGTTTTGACCGATCTGGGTGGATTGTACCCAAATTTGGGTTGTTTTGAAGTAGCGTGCTGGCTATTCCACCGCCTGTATAAATCAGATACAATATTACCTCCATGATGCAATTTTTTTTCAAATTTCTGTGTACATAGTATAATTACAGACAAACAGACATAACACTCACAATCACATTCATCGCAAATAGTGTTTTAGTTGGGAATGTGCTTGCATTTGTCATGGTGGCGCCACTGAAGCATTGAGCAAGCCACCACATTTCTAACTTATCAGTGATGCCAGCTCTTTTTCACGTCTAGTTATCAAATGTCAGCTCTTGAAAATGATTAGTGGTCACGGCATCCCATTGAAGACACATACCACATCTGACGAATACAGAAAAAAAAGGTTGTTGATTATTACATCAAAACTGCTGCACATTAGTCATTCCGTTCCTAACATTACGTTGTACGATGTACACAGAATTCGAGAACAAATCATGTGGATGACTGTAATATTCTATCAATTTTCACCAGTTATTGATGTTCAATACTTCACCATGAATATCATTGATTGACACATATTATTTTTTCTTCTGTTTACACATTGAAGTGGTGAGCGGTGGTAGAAAGGGCACTAATAAGTGATGCATTACCTTGTTTAAAAATTTGTTTCCAGCAAAAGAAAAAGCACGCTAAGCAAACAAAACAAATCCCCAAAAAAAAGTCTTAGCTTCTGAGAA